TATGATTACACTGTGGCTATTTTGAATGCTATCAGTTTTTTTTATTCCAGAAGTGATTGTGAAACAGCAGATAAATCCACCGCAATGCCTTCGTGGTGACTCTATCCCAGTCCAGCACAGAAAACCAAAAGAAGAATAGAAATTGCCAGAAGTCACATAATAACCGATGTTAACACTTTTAATCTTGTAACCTGAAATTATTTGCTTTAAATACATTTTCCCTCTGAAAAGATCTGTTTCTTGATTGTAGCATTAAGACATGATTGTAGACCTATAGCTCTTGACATAGTTAAGAGATTGATTATCATGGTATATGAAATATATTCTTAATTATATTTTCATTTAGACACACTTAATACAACCTCATGATACTTATATTGAAATTGAATGTTCTACCAGAATCCCAGAGCCAAGAAAGTATTCAGGATTAAAATGATGAATGTATTTCCTTCGAACAGTCTGGCTGGTCAATGTCATTTCCTAATGAACAGCCAACTGGGACTAAAGTGGAATTTATGTTCCTGTCAATGCATCTGGTAGAATATTTTGAGCTTCCTAAATGTCTGAATTGGAGTCAGGTATTCTATTTTAGTTTTAGCATGTGATGGCCAAATGAGTTAAACGTTTGTAGGGTGAATAAATTAACAATTAAAATGTATTCATTCATTTACTGGGATGATTTTCTTTTTCTCTCGTCATCTCTTTATCTCGTATACTGTCTCATTCTTCTTTTCTTTCTTTCTTTCTTTTTCTTTCTCTCCTTTCTCTACTATTTACTGTAAGCCAGTTTGTGTGGGAATGTAAATTTGTGTGTGAATATCAAGTTTAAATGTAATTTTGTACAGATATATGTGTATATTAAACTTTAACTAAACCTGGAGTTAAATATGACTTTGACTCATAAAAAAGAAGCTATTAAAGGAACTCGAACTCAACCGGTTCTAGAGGTGTTGAACCTTGGAAAGTTCTCTCCTATTGAACTAAATACTTAGTCCTCTAGTCACATTAGTTGGCAGTTACTAACATGGATATTTGTGGCTAGACACTGTAGCGGAATGAATGGACCTTGCTACAGAAACTATCAGCAAGTGTTCTCCTTGTTAGCAGATGCTGTGCTTGACAGTAGTCTTTTGCTTCCTGTTTCTTGTGTCTCCCATTAATGTGTATTTTGGCATTATATAGGCAATTTTTTCTTTGTTTTCTCCTTTGGATGCTGAGCTTGGGCATCACCCATTTATAATAATGACATGAAAATAGTCAGAAAAATAGAAAATTCCTTTATATTCCTATATAAAATTCCTTTAATTCTCCTATGCAATATGAACTGGGGGCAGAGCTATCCTGTTTTCATGCTGTTGTGGCATGATAAGGAACATTAAATAATGGTAAGTATGAAAAATGTTTCCATTTTTCCATATCAGTAACAAAAACATATATTGTATTTTTTGCGACAAAAAGCATGAGAACACATCATGTCTATTGTTTTGTTTATTTATATCAAAATGTATGTTTTTTGTTTTTTTGTTACCACTTTCTTTTGATTTTGAGGCCCATGTAAAATTCATGCTCTCATATAAGTATAAATGTTGTAATTTTGATACAGTGCTTTAATTATTTATTTATTTATATATATATATATATATATATATATATATATTTTTTTTTTTAAAGTTACTCGATAATACAATACATACCAGGGGATTAAATCTATGTGAGAAGTAAAGCATATCTGGCAGTTTTGCTCCGCAAACTTTCATTGCCTTAAATGTAAGAACCACAGATAAACAATATCGGTTTTCTATTCCTTTCAAATCAAATAAATACCAGAGTATTATTACCAAAATCAATTCTGAACTCAATCACTTTGACACACAAGCATAAGCAGAAAAGTTTGTTCTCTAGATTTAACTGAACTCAGACATTGTAGACATGGTTGAATGTTGTTGAAAATATTTGTTGTTGAAAATATTTACTAAAATGTAAAATATTTAAAATTACAAAATTTGAAACTTTAAAAAATTGACTTATTCCATCTAAATCAAAAATATTCAATCTCCTTATGTTATTCTTATTTTTTTTTTAGTTCAAGATCCAGCCTGGGAAAAAGATTTGGGTCTGCAATGGGACCTGGAGGAATGGCTTGCATTAAAATCATCTCTCAATGGTATCACACAGTACCGTTGGCATCTGGCCCTTTTCAAGACTCCATAAAAGGAACACAAAATATTCAGATAGGTGTTGCAGGGGTTGTGGAGACCTCGGTACTCTTTCACATATATGGTGGCACTGTGCACAATTGCAACTGTTCTGGCAGGGAATGCATTCGCTGATTAAAAAGATAGATCTGTCAATTATAACATTCTCTCCAGAGGTGAAGCACTGTGATTGGATCAGGCTACCACATGTCAGCAGACTGCTTGTGTTTCTGAGTCTAACAGCATGCAGATTTAAAGCTTCAGGCTTGAACACAGTAAGATTTTTACTATATTTATGGAGGCATGGGGGCCCAGGGAGGGCCAGATGGTGGTGTTAACGCTATAGGGTCAGGAATACATGTTTGTGTTCCTGACCCTATAGTGATCCTTTAAGTTTGACTTAAATAACCTAAGACAGGTGCAGTTGAGTATAGCAAATTATAGATATTATGCATTAGAACCCTATAATTACATAATATATTTACATTCTTTATTTATTCACATGAAAAGGCACACAAAGAAACATAAAGGGAAGTATAATAAATAAAGCATAATAAAAAGACAGGTAGTTAGACATTAGTCAAATTATTAGTATAACTCTTCTGCAACAATTTTAAATAAAAGAGTGTTCTAAGCAGACAAAAATAGACAATAAAGACAAGTAAAACAAAATGAAAGAAAAAAAAAGAAGAAAAAAAGGTAGGGGTGTTTTAAGAGGAAGATGAGGAAGGGATGAACCCTTCTGAGGCTGGGATAGCAAATTTCTTAATTCAGCGCAAAAGACTAGTTACTGAGGTATTCCTCCCAAGGCTGACAAACTTTTTGAAATGAAGTCATGGCTTTTCTAACCCGAACAGTTCATTTATCTTCACGATACTCTATTAAAGAGGTTAACATTTGATGGTAGAAATGGAGCGTTTGTGAATTTTTTTTTTTGTGATGCATGTAAAATGTTTGTGAATTCAGATTTGCCGCAAAAATGTATGTAAAACATTTAATAAATGTTTACGTAAAAGTATGATAAAACAACAGTTTTTGTATAGATTGCCTGTCAGACAATCTTAAGAATTGAAATCATGTAAAGTAATGTTGTTTTTTAATTTATACATTCATTCTTTCTAAAAAAAAATGTTTTAGGAATAAAAAGCTCTAGAATGTATACAGTATCCCTTATCTTGAAATATTTCACATGGGGTCTGAAAAGTTAGTATGAATGCAAAAAATACAATTTTCTTAGATGAGGTAAAAAAATTTAATAAATAAAAATAGCCTATTGCCCTGTTTTGAAGGAATTTTATGAACCCTGAATGCGAGATCTAGCAGTACTGCTTACTAAAAATGGCAACAGAGTTCAGAATACTGTCTGCATTTGAGCATAGTGGTCTCAAAGTAAATACAGCTAAATCATGTATTTCTAAAATAAAGGCATTTAGAACTGCTATAGCAATCTTTATCAATCTCTGGAATGTTGATGTAATGATGACTGCAATGAATGGTGTAACCCATTAAAACTGTCTTACTTGTATGGAAGGGGCATCTGTCATTTTCAGGAAATCTGCAGACATTAAATTGTCAAATGGATTCTTGGCAGAAAATGGTGTTCCTCAACTGACTCGTAAAACTTTGTGGAGTATAAATGAAGGAAGAGATAGGTATTATGGATTAAAAGAGGAAATTGTTTCATATTTAACGTAATTTTATTTTCCCAGCTTTTTTCCATGACATTATCACTTATCGGTTTGCCCTGCCTCTCAGGTGATAGGACAGGATCTTAAATGCAATTAAGAATTTACAATTATATAAAATCCCCCATCTTCACAACTTCCCCAGTCAAGTACCAATATCTGAAAACCAGAAAAGCCAGAAGGGAGGGAGCGTTATGCTGTCATGGAAAAAGCCAGGAAAAGTAAATTACTGTAAGTATGAAACTATTTTCTCCTTTCTTGGCCAATCATGATAGCATCCCTGATGGGTAATACTGATGGAAAGAAAGAAGGGAGGGAGGGACATCACATTATGAACTGCAAACTACTCTTTATTGATTTGAGGCTACTTGTATCAGAACACCTCTTCCAAAGGAAGAAGAAGAACGCTTTGCTACATCCAACTTATAGTGCTAGATAAAGGTCAAAAGAGATGACCAGTAGCCTGATAGGACGCCAAAATCGAATGTGCCTGACTCCTTGAGAAAGAGCAGGAAAGGGAAGACCAGGTGGCAGTAAAAAAGAACTATTCTCAAGCCGTGCCTGTAAAAGTTTCAGCTCTACAAGAGCAAAGAGATAAAAACAGCCATTACCTCCACATTAGTGCAGTGAAGAGCACCTAAAATAAAGATGATCCCACCTAGCCAGCAGGGAAACCTGGGGCAGAGGGAGATTAATGAGCTCCCAACTCCAAAGCTGCTATAAGGTGCATATACATGGAAATCCCAAGTAGCAGTTTCATTTATACCAAAAAACCTGCCCCAGTTAGTCCTGCTCAGGCAAGCTGTATACAGTGTCCCTTAGAGAAAGAGGTAAGGTAAGGCCAAAATAAAAAATGTTAAATCAAAATATTACCTGCCTCCCACCTGAGGACAGGGGAAAAAAAATGGGGAAGCTAGGATGGGGGATTTTATGTGAATGAATTGTTTAATTGCATTTAAGACCCTGTCCTGACTCCTGAGTTGCGGGACTAACCCATCAGTAGTACTGTCATGGTTAGCCAGTAGTGATGTCCCGAACGGTTCACCACGAACGATTCACCACGAATGGTTCGCCACGGACTCATCATTGAGTAAACTTTGACACTGTATCTCACAGTCAGCAGACACATTCCAGTCAATCAGCAGCAGACCCTCCCTCCCAGACCCTCCCACCTCCTGGACAGCATCCATTTTACATTCATTGTGAAGCTGCATTCTTAGTGAGCTGTCCAGAGGTGGGAGGGTCTGGGAGGGAGGGTCTGCTGCTGATTGGCTGGAATGTGTCTGCTGACTGTGAGGTACAGGGTCAAAGTTTACTCAATGATGAGTCCGTGGCGAACCGTTCGTGCCGAACCATTCGGCAAACCGTTCGGGACATCACTATTAGCCAGTAAATATTTTTTTATAAGTAAAAAACAAAAATAGTAAAAACATGTATACATTTCTTCTCAAACATTCTTAAATGTTGGCAAATGAAGCTGTAACTGAGCATATAGTATTTTAATTTCCCTTTCTTATGTAAATATATTTTAGAAAGGCCAAAAGATAGATGGACATACTACTGCCTAAGCAAGAAATACAATTGCTGTAAGTAATTATGTTTTTAGTGTGGATAATGCATTGATGTTGTGGTAAATCAATCCTTGAGTTTCCTCTTAATTTTTAAAATGTTGTATTTAAAAGCATACCCTCATGACAAAAAAAAACAAGTAGGTTCATCATAATATACCAGATAACTAAAGAGTGCCATGAGAAATATATTCCTGTAATCATCTCAAAAAAATTTATTTACTCATTTATCAAAATTATTTTTCTTCATTTTTTTGAATGCAATGACTCCAAAGTTAGTGAAAAAATATATTTATGTGGCAGTATTATTCCAGTCACATTTATTACATGAGTAGACTGGTGCTCGGTTGATCATTGAATAGCAGGAGATATATACAAGAACTCAGAATGAATTATTGATGTACAATACCTCGTTATCTGAAGACAAGAGCTTTTATTTGGTATTGTTCCAAATCAAACCCTTCACTGTCTTTGTCGGTTTACCCCAAAGGAGCGACTAGATAATCTTATCATCTATAACTTAAAAATTATTGATTACATCATGTTGATCTGATGTAGCCACCTCAGATGGGACCAGAACGCCCAGAGTCTGGAGAGTAAATTTCTGCTGTTGTTGCAAATGTAAAATTACCTGTTCTATGTTCTGATAAGGCTTAGCAGTAATATAAAGCCTGCTGAGCACATGATTAACTTATTTATATTCTTTAAACAATTGATTTTGGCACACCTTTCTAACATTCGCTGCACATGTCAAGGAAATACCCATTGATTGAGTCCTTCTGCATACTAAAAAAAGCTATGATTCACCTTCAAATAGATTTAGCACTAAGTTGCTCTACCACCAGAAAGCAGTATTAAATAAATCAGTGTAAATACAATATTCATAACGTACTGATATTGCATTCAGCTAGTTAAGCAATAGCATACTTATCTAGTACTAATAAGAAAGGTTGCTGACAGCCCTTGTGACTAGTAGAGAATATTAGCAATGATTTTCTAAATTCAATCCCACGCTTCCACAATTCCACAGAGCATACAGAGTAAAACCAATGGCTTAAATTACGACTCATGTAAAATTAAATTCCACTGGATAGCCAACGTGCACAATATATGAAAAAATTAATATGTGGTTGCACAAAAATCAAATAAATCAGATATAGACCTTAATCTAAAAAGACAGAAAAAATAGCAATACTCCTATAGCGTAACAAAAAAATATTAAACTCACGTAGCAGAGGGGGATGTGGCTGGACACTAGACATGTTTTGCATTACCTTGCCCGATCAGAGGCTTTCATGATTTTAACTTACGTCTATCTTCTGTCCGTACTCCCACCTCTGACGCTCGCCTTCAAGACTAGGCACCTACCTATAGTCGGATGACTGGTAGGGGCTCCTACTCTTATTGTTAAAAATCCCCTCCTTACCACTTACTGTGCTACTGGTATCTCCTGTTTTGTGACCAGAACAGAGGCTGCAAGACTATGGGATCACTCTAAACAATCTGAGGGAGCCCGATCTGTGCATGGCCCCACACTCAGAGTAAACACAAGATCTCTTGGAGGGAGAGGACTGGGGCAACTGGGACAACTCAGAAATTACTGCCACGCACACACACACACAGCTACACATACTGCTACCCAGACTGTGCACACACACTGCTACACCCACTCTGCACAAACACAAATTGACACACACATACATACACACTGATAAATACACACTCGGACTTTTATGCACACTGCTACACATGCACACACATTACACACATATAAAACATAATCTCTATATGTGTGTATATATACAATATTTTTGAATTAGTTCAGAACATGTGGAATTGGTGGGGCGCTTGAGAATTTCGAGTCTACATGCTCATGTGGTATAAATGCGGCCCTAGATATAAAGAGATAATGGGAACCAAGGGAAAAAGCAGTATATTAAAGTTTACCATAGAAATAGTAGAAATAATATTGAGTAGAAGTATTAATTTAATAGTAAAAACAAACTGGCTGACGAGTTTTAAGTGATTTTTGGCAGTTTACTATATCATGCATTTATGCATTTAGAGAACAACATTTAGACAGAAAGTAATGACTCATGAGTAACACTAAAGCATCCAGACCACTTTTTCTCCAAGAAGTGGTCTGGGTACAGAGTTCCTATCACATGACTCCCAACCATCTTGATTCTGGTGGGACAGTCCTGATTTTCAGGTCCTCTCCTGCCTTCCCACATTAGTTTCCTGCTGTCCAACTACCATACCATATCCGCATTAGCCTCTCAATGCTTATCTATGAGGAAGCATTGCATGGCTGAGGTCATCAAAACTGATGATGTTTGCAAGGAAGGCATGCCTGCCAGGCAAAAACTGGCATGGTGAAGGCTCAAAGGGGAGTAAAAATTAAAAATGCACATGTGCACAAAACAAAACAGTTAGTAGGACACTATAATGGTAGGGATACATGTTTGTATTCTTAACACTATAATTTTCATTTAAAAAAATGTTCAGCTATATTCACAGTTTGGTTATTTTTGCCTAGATTTTAATGTCTATTAATAATACATTTATAATTGTAAACTATGCAAAATGTATTCCGCGATAATATAAGTAGAATTTTCACATAGATAATTTAACCTCTTAGTGACCAGACCGTTTTTCAATTTTCTTACCGTTAAGGACCAGGGCTGTTTTTACATTTCTGCGGTGTTTGTGTTTAGCTGTAATTTTCCTCTTACTTATTTACTGTACCCACACATATTATATACAGTTTTTCTCTCCATTAAATGGTCTTTCTAAAGATACCATTATTTTCATTATATCATATAATTTACTTTAAAAGAAATTATAAAATATGATGAATTTCTTTTTAAAAACACACTTTTTCTAACTTTGTTACGCATCTACAACCGCCAATAAATACCCATGGTAAATTGTTTCTAAATTTTGTCCTAAGTTTAAAAATACCCAATGTTAACATGTTCTTAGCAATTTTTTGCAAGTTATAGGGCAATAAGTACAAGTAGCACTTTGCTATTTCCAACCTTTTTTTTTTTTTCAAAATAACGAAAGTTACATTGTAACACTGATATCTGTCAGGAATCCCGGAATAACCCTTCACAAATATATATTTTTTAAAAGAAGACAACCTAAGGTATGAAACTTGGGGTATTTTGATTCTTTTCATGAAACCATTTTACCACCAATCTATGCCAAATTAAAAACAAAAAATAATAATTGCTGATTTTTTTGACACACATAGTAGGTTAAGAATACATGTACTGAAAACTTTAAGGGTTACTGCCAAAGAACACCCCAATATGCGTTTAGCAACATCTCCTGAGTACAGTGATACCCCCCATGTATAGCTGTGTTAGATCTTCTGGGGTCTAAAAGACCTTATTTTGAGGGTTCGCATTCCAGTTTTCCAACTTTCACAGCTTTCACTTTCACAGCTGGTCACCAGGCACCCATGTTCTATTTGGGACATTTTTTTAATATGATTTACCCACATCAAACTATATATTTTTGAAAGGTAGACACCCTAGGGTATATCAAATGGTGGTATTTTAACACTTTCCATGACTTTCCACACTTTCCATGCACTAATTCTACCACCAGTCTTTGTCAAACCTTTGGGTAGACATTTTTTTGTGTTATTTTTCACACACATTGTAATTTAGGCATGAATTATCAGTTCCTGCTATGTTTTACTGCCAATGGACACCCCAATATGTGTTCAGCAATATCTCCTGAATACAGTGATACTACCTATGTACAGGTGTGTTGGGTTCTCTGGGGGCTAAAAGACCTTATTAGGAGGGTGTGCATTCCAGTTTTTTAACATGGAATTTTCACATCTGGTCATCATGCACCTATGCCCTATTTGGGACATTTTTTAAGCTGGCAAATTTACATATCCCAGTTTATATTCTAGCCGTGAACGTGCATTTATTTGAAAAATTGACACCCCAAGATATTGTATGTGTAGCGTTTTAATGCCTTTGATGCAAGCGTTTTAGCCAAAAAAAATTGGACAAAATGTGTGGTGGTAATTTTTACATTTTCCTTTTTACAAACACATTTGTGTGTGATTTAGGGGAGCCTGTTGTTGGTGATTACAAGAAAACACTCCAAGTTGTTTTCTGCAAGGCCTACTGAGTACACTCAGGCCACCATGCATAGGTTGAACTTGATCATAAAAATAGTCTGTCGCAATATAAAAAACTCAGTAACAGTAAACAAAACCAAAAAAACTGAATGGCAAATGTAAAATGGACCAGTGTGTGATATTGCTTGAAGCAATCCCCAATGCAGAGTCCAGGCTGTCCTGGGCAATCAGGACAGTAAAAGACAGTGCCCTTTCTCTGTCCTCTCTTGAAACAGACTCTGCATCTTTTTTGAGGATTATGCTTTGCTGCAGTAGGGGGGGTTTTAAAAATAAAACGTGTAGCCCCAACTCTGCTCTCTCCCATCACCACCTGGAGAGCAGGTGCATCTTGGTTCAAAATTCACTAAATAATCTGGAGCTGAAACTGTAAAAAAGTCTGTTTCATTCCGGGGTTTGCTTTTTTGAACAACAAAAAAAGCGTTGTGGGTTGCAATCTGCATTAAGTAAATTGCAACCTTTTTGTACCAGGCCCTTGTCTTCTGTATAATTAGGTAGGGCTGCAGCAGCTGATCTGCCAGATCAACACCACCCATATGCCGATTATAGGCCTT